CCCTTAGGTGCCTGTGTTGAAAAGTCACAGGGACCGTAAAGGCTGTCCTGTGAGATTAAATGCTTCCAGCTAAAAGGGACACCTAGTGCTAAAGTTTTTCCTTGGCTCAGGAGTCCATTAACACAGCTTACCGTTCTCTCTCTCTCTTTTGTATCCAAAATCTTTATATTTTATTAATTTTTTAGAAATTTTTATTGAGTGGTTTTAGAGAAGAGAGGAAGGGGGGAGGGGGAGAGAGAGAGACAGAGACATTGACTTCTTGTTCCAGGTATTTATGCATTCATTGGTTGACTCTTGTATGTGCCCTGACTGGGGATCGAACCCAAAACCTTGACGTACCGGGATGATGCTCCAACCGAGCTACCCGGCCAGGGCTCCAAAATCTTTTTAATAACAAGGTAGGATCTGGGGTTAGTTTTCTGTAGCTGTGCCTAGCCCGTCAGCCTCTTGCACGTTTGAACTTCTGGCCCTTGGATAGTACATAGGGTTTGGATCGTATGTGAGGGATTCCTGGGGCCTGCCCAAATGCCTGTACACCTTGAGGCCCTTGGAAGGACCAGAAAGCAAGACAGGGCCACAGCCCTTGGGGGGAGTGCAGGGCCTGGTGGTCGAAGGTGAGGATCTTGCCCCCTGGCCTTGAGGATGCAGCTCTGGGTATGGCTGCTCACATGAAGTGCACACACCTTCAGTTTAGGCACCTCCTGAACAGGCATGTCATTGGTTATAGTTCCAACACCCACAGCGGTTTTGCCCTCCTGGCCAGGAAACTTCATCTTCTGGACCATCCGGGAAAGGGACAGAGGCGGCCAGTTGGTGCGACTCATGAACAACCTCTTCACCACTTGGCTGAAGGGGGGGTTGCTTTGTCTGACCAGAAACCTATAGAGCTTGGCCAACAGCCTTAGATAGATGCCTTGGTGTTTAGGCTCCTTGTGCCGAACCTTTTGGTTTTTGTTGTGGCAGATGTCGAATCCTATGATGGCCCATTTCCTACTCGGCATTTGGAAAACAAACAGCATGGTGTGGGAGAGGGTACCAGGCTTGACCAGGTCCTTAGACTACCATGCACTTGCCATGGCACACAAGATTGGTCTCCCAACCCCTCGGAACCCGTCTCCTCACCTGCAAACTGCACGTAACAGTATGTCCAAGTTATTGTGGCAAGTGGATGAGATCATGGCCAGGAAGATACAATTTTCCTTCCTGCCTGCCTAAATCCTGGGTCTTCCCTCACGCCAAGGTCCCTCTGAGGAGGTGGTCACATTTGGAAGGAGGAACTTGTCTTCCCTTTTGTGTTCATGTGGGTTTATGTGCCCCGTTCTGTCCACAGAGCAGGTGCCTCCACGGGGCTATGTCACCTTCAACAGTAGTGATGAGAACCCCCTGGAAGGAGGGGGCCTCTGCTACAGGGATGTCACCTCCCCCATCAATGACCGGGATGTGGAGAGTAGCAGCAGCAGCAGCCGGGGTATGTGTGCCACCCCCACCTATCCTGCTGGGGCTTGGGTGCTATGATGAGTCTGTCTGGTAGGGAACAGGAGGGGGAAAGACACAGAAAGACCCTGGCTCTTCTGAGAAGAGTTAAAGACTCTGGCATGGCACTGGGGAGAAGCAGCATCCAGCCCAGTGTCCCCATGCGGGATCTGGGGGAGTTGTTCCAGACAGGTTTAGCTTCTTGATTAGTGAGCCCTCAGGGAAATGTCTTTGCTATGTAGTACATGTATCATTCATTCAGCAACTGTTACTGAGTGCCCTGTGTGCCAAGCATTGTTCTAAATGCTTGGATTTACCAGTGAACAGAACAGACAAAAACCTTGCCCGTGTGTATAGAGGGGAGGGCTCTCAGGCCAGCATGAAACAGAACACGTTAAGGAGTTGATGAGTGCTGTGGATGCAACAGCTCAGGCTCTGGGGAGTCTCCGTGTGTGAGACCTGTAGTCAGGCATCGTTATCTTTACTGTTGTCAGAAGAGCAGACCTTCTGTGTCCACCTTGGGGCTGTGCGGAGCAGCAGCAGCAGTGAGGGTCTAGCAAGAGCCCCAGGAGTCAGCAGCGAGGCCTCTTTGGAGAGCAATGAGGTAAGGCCTCTCCTTATTGTTTATCTCTCACCTCTCTCCCCTTTGTTGGTGTCATGGGGGATGCTAACAGTTCATTTGAGATGGGCGAGTCTCAGAACAGGGACTTAATGCGTGTCTGTGCTGTGCTAGGACATACAAGGTTCGGGGCCACCCTCTAGAACCACCTGGGTTTATGTGACCTCAGTGGAAGCCCCTGTATGGCATGTGGGGGTAGTTTCAAATCTTACCCATGCTGTGAGGGAAGTGGCACGGATTGAGAGTAGAAGCTGGAACCATGGGGCAGAGAGCAGTTTGGATGCAGCCATGTCAGCTGCAAGATCTTCAGTGTTACTTTATTTTTTGAGCAGTTTTGTTGTGGGTGTTTGTTTTTGGTTTCTTTTTTTTTGTAAGGAATCTGTCCAAGGTTCCACAAGTACTTACTAATAGAGCTGGGATACGAACCCAGCTCTAGCTGACCCCAGAGGTCATGCACTTTTCCTCTATACTTATTTTTAATTCCCATTCCCCCACCCCTCTCCCCTTTGGCAGCCATTAGCTTATTCTCTTTTTCTGTTTTATTTTTTTTGGAGTTATATATTAAGTGAAATCATATGGTAGCTCTGACTTATTTCACTTAGCACAATAGCCTTTAGGTCCATCCGTGTTACAAATAGCAAAATTTCATTCTTTTTTAAAACACCCCGATTTTGTTATTTATATTGATTTCAGAGAGAGGAATGGAGAGGGAGGGAGAGAGATAGAGACATCAGTGAGGAGAATCATTGATCTCATCGGCTACCTCCTGCATGCCCCCACAACCTGGGCATTTGCCCTGACTGAGAACTGAACCATGATCTCCTGGTTCAGTGCTCAACCATTGAGCCACACTGGCTGGGCAAGATTTCATTCTTTTTCACTACTGAGTAATATTCCATTGTATATATGTACCACATCTTCTTCATCTACTCATCTGTTGAACACCTAGCTTGCTTCCATGGCTCAGCTATTTACTAGTAATACTGCAGTGAGCATAGGGATGCTTGTATCTTTTTTGAAGTAGTGTTTATTTTGGATAAATATTCAGAACATGGAATTGCTAGATCATATGGCAGCTCTATTTTTAATTTTTTCAGGAATCTCCTGTTTTCCTTAGTGGCTGCACCAATTTACAATCCCACCAACAGTGTGTGAGGGTTCCCTTTTCTCCACATCTTCACCAACACTTGTTGATTTGTTGATAGTAGCCATTCTGACAGATGTGAGGTGATACCTCATTGTGGTTTTAATCTGTATTTCCCTGATGATTAGTCTTTCACTGTTACTTTAAACACACACCTCTTGACACAGGATTCAGATAATGCACGTAAAAGCTCAGTTCGCAAACAAACTAAAAGTTATATGAAGACCAAGACTCGCTACAGCAACAGTGACAACCAGTGGCCTCCCAGCACTGGGACTTCCGGGGCATCCTGTTCCCCAGGATCTATCTCCCAGACTGAGAAGTTCCCCTATTCAGGACCCCAGGTAAGACCATTTGGGAAACTGGTGGCTACACACTTAGAAAAATGGTGCTCTTTGTGATTTGTAAGGCATTTATTGTGTGCTTATAATGCACTGTTGAGAGAAGAGTATGGTGGCTTTTCCCCAAATGATCTGTAAAGCTTCTCGGGCCCAGAGGATTCCTAAGGTCAAAGGTACCAGTGGCAGGTTTCGTATCTGCCTCTCCCTTTGGTTACCATGCTCATTTCCATACTTGACAGTCCCCCTGAGCCTAGGGAGGAGAAAAACAGGAAAGCTGCTTTCAGGAGTCAGTGAGAAGATGCAAGGGAAGCAGAGACAAAGGGACACACAATATGCACTTCATGAAAATTGCTGTTTCTGCCTTCATTATGGGTCACTCCGGCTACGCAATTTCTTAGGGATTACAGGTGTGACATAGCAGCTCAACTGTCTAATGCATGTGTATTGAGCTCTTTGCCCTCAGTGGGCATAGGTGGTACAGAGATGGAAGACAGACCGGTAAGTACTTGCCATTTATTTGTTCCAGGTCACAGCTCTGCTGTTCACTAGAAGCCTATAATTTTGCTGGCTTCGTGCACCCCGCCCCACCCCCAGGGAGCTATCTCCAGGGCCTGTATTCCCAGGTTCTGCAAGCAGCTGCACCACTTGAGTCCTTAAACGCATGTGGATTGGAGAGTTGGTGGGATCTTAAAGCTATTTCAGAAAGTAGGTTGAGGAAAGTGACAGAGTAACAACTTTTGAATTAAAACTGGCGAAAGTGGTCAGAATCAGTTTTTTTCAGAACTTTGTGAATCAACTAAAGGCTTACAGCATCCAGGAGAATGTTTTTTCAAGAGAAATGGCTGGATCTCAGTGAGAACTGTGAGCTTTTAGTATTTCAACTTGCCCTAATCCCATTCGTTCACTCTCCAATGTCAGGGTAGCTATGACAGCCACTGAAGGGGAGAGAGCAGAGCTGGAGTGCTTTCAAAGTTTCATTCTCAAAGACTTGGCATTACTAGACCTGTCTAATGGTTCCCTAGAAGGCATGCTTATAAGGCTTTATTTGACTCAACTTAGAGCTTATCTACTCAACACCAGAAGCCCTCTCACTGGAGGACATGTGTTGAAAATAATTACAGGGAAATGTTTTAACTTTGCACCTGTCTGAGGTGTTGGATAACAGTTGGGGTGTATACATTAGCCCCAAAGCTTAAAAGGAAAAGCTGGGGAAGGGGATGTCTGTAGGAGCTTTGAAAAGTTCTTATTCCTGAGAATCTGAGAGGCCACGTACATGCTCAAGGCTGTGTGTATGGTCGAGGGACCTGAGAGTACCTCTGATGATCCTGAGGTTTTGAGGAAGCAAGAAGCAAAGGCTAGGACAGAACTGTCATCTGCCTGGTTGAGTGTTGAAGATGTGCCCCAACAAGCATACAGAGCTATGTTCGGCAAAGACGGAGATTTATTGGTTCCAATGTTTAAGGAGACTTCTGTCCAGTCCTCAGTTGACCACTAAGCTGAATGAGTAGGAACTTAAGTGGTCACAGACCAGAAAGAGTACAGACAACAAGCCCCAGGGGAAGACTCGGACCTCAAGAGTTGCTGCATTAAAATGTCCAGCTTTCAGCAAAAAAAAAGGTATGCAGAGAACAAGGAAGTGGGCCACAGACAGTAAGAAAAGGCAGTAGTAGCAGCTGTCCTGGAGGAAGCCCAGGCACACTGGACTTTTATTAGGCAAAGACTTTAAACAAGCTTTTAAAAATGTGCTCAAAGAGCTAAAGGAAACTACATCTAGATAGAGAATTTCAAGAAAGTGATAGAAATAAAAATGAACCAAGTAGAAATTCTGGAGTTGAAAAGTATAACTGAAATGAAAATTCCAGTAGAGGGGCTCAGAGTAGATTCGCGCACACAGAAGAATCAGAAAACCTGACATAGTCCAGTTGAGATTATCCAGCATGAGGAACAGAGAGAAGAATGAAGAAACGTGAATAGAAACCCGTGGGACACCATCAAGCATGCCAACATGCACACATGGTGTCCAGGACGGGGGAGAGGAAGGCAGAAAAAAAGTTTTAAAAATAGCCGGATCTTCCTGAATTTAATCACAACATGAATCTGCACATCCAAGAAGCGAAATGAATTCTTAAATTAAACTCAGATCCACACCTAGACAACATAACCCAACTGTCAAAAAACAAGAGAATCTTAAAGTGACTCATCACCAGCAAAGGAATCTCAGTAAGATGAATAGCTCATTTCCCCGCAGAAACTGTGGAGACCAAAGACATTTGACAACATATTCAAAGTAATGAAAGAAAAATAACCCAACCAAGAATGCTACTCCAGCAACAGCTGTCCTTCAGAAGTGAAGGAGAAATTAAGATGGTCCCAGGTAAAAAAAGTCTGAGAATTTGTCCTTAGCAGACCTGCCCTACGGGAAATACTGAAGGTGTCCTTCAGGCTGAAATGAAAAGACATTGGATCTAAGACACAAGTAGGTGTCTCTGGACTCCCTGCTCTGCTTGAAGGCATAGAGAGAGGAGAGGCAGCTTGGGCTCTTTGCCTGCAGTCAGGTCACTGTCTCACTGCTGAACTTGGGGGATCAGCAGGGCTCAGATCTCCCTCTTAAAAGTGACCTCACAAATACACACTTAGCTGGAGAAAAGTGGCTCTGCCTTGCATTGTGTTTCTTTGTCCCCATGTCTTTGTGCCCTGCCTGTCCTCTGCCCTCTAGGACCTTGCCACACTGCTGGAACAGATCGGGTGTCTGAAGTACCTGCAGCTGTTTGAGGAACAGGACGTCGACCTTCGAATCTTCCTGACCCTCACTGAGAGTGACCTGAAGGAAATAGGCATCACGTGAGTCCAGAGGGGCCATCTGTGGCTGCATGCCCCTTGTTTCAGCAGAGTTCTGGGGCCACCTGATGTTGCAGCTTCCCAGCAATGATAGAAAAGAGCTGCCCTCCCTAGAGCCGCTTTCTTCCTGTAGTCAGCTGTCCACTCTACTACTACAGCCTAGGTGCAAATGGCATGGGTTCTGTGGCTCCCCAAGTTGGCCCTGCTCAGTGCTGCATTCAGAGCACCCAGACATTTTCTGCCTGTTCACTTTTGAGAGCCTTCCCTGTTGGCAGACGGTCATATATAGCCTGGAGCCAGGCAGCTGAGTTTCTTGTTTAGTGAAAGCAGGAGCCCAGCTGGGAAAGGGACCAGGCTCCAGTGAGGTCATCACTTCTTACAACCCTTTGTTTCTGTCCTCTGCTGCATGATCCCGGGGCAACTCTCCCCTCTCAAGGCTGGGATATTTCCCAGGGGGACCATGGTTCGTGGAGCTTCCAGGCACCTGGCAAATGCTAATCCTTTTCTCATTCCCCCCACAGGTTGTTTGGACCCAAGAGGAAGATGACTTCTGCCATTGCCCGCTGGCACAGCAGTGCCCGCCCCCCTAGTGACGCCCTGGAGCTGGCCTATGCTGACAGGCTGGAGGCTGAGATGCAAGAGCTCGCCATCCAGCTGCACAAAGTAGGGGGGAGGAGATGTGCAGAAATGGCAAGCGAGAGGTCTGGAGACATACACCTGCAGAGGACACAGTGGGTGATAGGACAGTGAGGGCAGAAAGCATTACAGCTCCTACCCTGAAGGGGAGATGTGCAGGCAGGCCCACAGGAAGAAGGCTCAGAAAGTTATGGAACATTAGGTGGGTGGGACACAGGAGAGAAGAGTTATGGTGAGGTCAGAGAACAAGAGGCTGGTGTGGACCCCAGATGGCTCACAGGAAAGGACCCAAAGCAGGGACAGGCAGGGATGGAGGATGGGGTTCCTCCTGCATCCTTGGCCCACTTGCCCGCCCCACCTCCTACCTCTCCCTCTCCAGCGCTGTGAGGAGGTGGAGGCCATGCGGGGCCAGGTATCCCAGGAGCAGGAGCTGCGGGCCGTGGTGGAGAGCTGCCTCCTGGAGCAGGATGGCACACGCAAAGACATCCTTGCCCAGCTACAGGAGACCTGGGCCCTGGCCAGGGATGCTGCTCTCATCCTGGACCAGCTACAGTGAGTAGGCACCTGTGCTGGCTGAGTTCACTCCAGATTCTTCAAGGACTTGCTTTCAGAGCCTCCTGGGGTCACTCCCTGCCACCCTCTCCCCCCATTTCATTCTGGCTCTTCCTGTCTGCTGGGTAGACCAACAGAAGTGGGACCCTGAAAATCTGTGCCCTCTACACAAGCTCTCAACCTGGGTCTTGGGCTAAGAGCTTGTGTGGGTGGGTGCCAGGGGTGCTTGCCAAGGCCAGGAAGGTTGGCTTCGAGGACAGCGTAGAGCTGTATGCCTTGCACTCAGGAAGGTGGGGTGCCTGCCATTCCCTGCCCTCTGGGACCATGAAAAGCAGTCACTAGGCTCTCCCCTTACCAGTACTTGGTCTTGTATCCTGCAGAGCCTGTCAGGCTGAGCTGTCAGCCCGAGTGAAGCGAGATGAGTCCCCTCTCGGTGCCACCCTAGGCCAGGCCCTCCCCACAGCCGGTAAGGAGAGCAGCATCCTGGCCTGGGGCTGGGCAGAGATGCCTCCTTAGGCTGGGTTTTACCACTTATCTCAGCAGTTACCACATTTACACTCCCAGGTCCCCTTGCAAACACAATCCCAGACTCCAGAGTAAGGGCACCCTGCCCTCCCCAACCCATTCCCCTACCATCCATCCTGATGGTGGAAAGCAAAGCCCTCTGGCCGTGGCTGACTGTGCTGTCCAAAACCTCAGGTGACTTCTGCAGTCTCCATGCTGGGTCCACCCCAGGGCACAGACTCATGGGAGGCCAGTGACACCCCACCCCCACCCCCCTTTTTCATTGCCGGGGCCAAGCCCTGATCAGCAGTTATGCTTTGGTCAGCAAACAGAACACATTTTGATGTAACAAAGGGGTCACTCAGGGAATCACAGTTGGGTGGGTCTCCTGGTCACAGCAGCTCAGGACAAAGGCAGGGTCTGTAAGCATACAGACCCTAGGCTCACCCAGCTCTCTGCCCCACAGACTCCAAAGGCTGGCAGGCCTCTCTGCAGGCCCTGAGCCTCCCTGAGCTGTCGGGAGCATTGGAGGATCGAGTCCATGAGATGGGTGAGTCTCTGGGATGGCAGCTAGTGACCCTCACCCCCACCCAGGGGCCAGATATAATAATAGGAAGAGCCCTGTCAGCTCAGACTCCTAGGGCAGCTCCACTACAACCTACTGACCTTCCAGGTTATCCATTCCTAGTGCCCCCCAAGGCACTCCTTCCCAATGCTGCTCAGACTTGCAAAGCAGAGTCTATTCCCATTCGCAGGGCGAGTGCTGTGCTCAGTGACCCAGGGTCTGGAGAAGCTGCAGTTGCTGAACGGGAAAGAGAACTGGCGGGAGCCTTAGCCCAAGGGACGGTGAGTGTGGGCCAGCCCAGGATCCAGGCTGGGGCAGCAGGGTCCACTGGGAACTGAGCGAATGAATGCCCACTTCAGTTCTCCCTTTTCCTTCTCAGAACCTGACGTTGGGTGACTGATCCACCCTGAAGCTGTATGCCCGGAAGACAGGAGGGCAGTGAACGGGCAGTTGCAGCAGCCCAGGCTCCAGCTGGGGCCAGAGGATCGGCCCCTGGGAGCAGCTGGTAGAGAGACAGGACCGGGCTGTGGCCTGTGCCAGGCAGCAAGGCCCCCATGGAGGCAGGATGAGGGCCTTGCCCTGAACCTGGTGGTAAGGCCCAGAGAAGACAGGACCTTGGGGAGAGAGCATGTCCCCATATACCACAGGCGCCACACTCAGGTTTGCCCTGATGGGTGAGGACTGGGGTGCCTGGGCAGCATATGACATTTGCTGGAAAATAAAATGTTAAGATCTGATGAGGGGCTCAGTTCTGGTCACACAATATGCAATATTGGCTGACATAAAGCAAGGGGAAAGCCATGGCAGGACCCCTGGCCCCAGTGACCTGCTGGGACCCAGGTCTCCTCTGCCAGGACAGACAACACTGTGCTCATAGTGGGGCTGACTTGTTGACCCATTCTGCCCCACTGTCCCTACAAGCTAGGGCCACTTTTGCTTAGAGCCGCCTTGATTCAACAGAAGCTACTTGGAGAGCCAAGCATGCCCCTATGCCCCAGGAAATAAGAGAGGAGCTAAGTACAGCTATTTTATTTACAGAGTGAAGTGCCTTTGCCCACAGTGTGGCTGCTTCAAGGCTCTAAGATGGGACGGATGCCCAGGCTGGGCAGGGAGCACCGCTTTCCTTAGCAGGCTGGGCAGGCACTGTGGAAACTTTCTGATAGCTTCGCTGAGAAGTTTTGCCAGACATAGGACCATAGGAGACTGCCAGTGGTGACCTTCCTGCCTGTGGTGGCTCTCCTGTTGTCACTCTGCATAATCAGTGGGTATTTCCAGACCATCCCTGGGAGCTGCCTGCAGACCATACTGGGAATGGAGAAAAGGAGGCTTTCAAAGCACAGAAAGAGCAGCAGGCTCAGCCTAGGTGTAGCCAGAGCCACCATGATAGAAAAGGGGCCTCTTGTGGATGGCCTCAGCACAGAAGCCCCAGACCAAGCCGACGGCCCAGATAGGTCCATGGCTGGTAGTGCCACATGTTAACAAGGAGGTGGACAGCAACCCCACCTGAGACGGGAGGTCTGTGGCAGCTTGACTCTGAATGGTGCCCAGTGCACTTGAACCTGGCCCTGTCCTTAAGTCTCCAGGTAGTAAAAGGAAGGGGACACCCTCCTGTGCCCACCCTGGGCCTACAGTCAGGACCAAAGAATAGAGCAGCGGAGGAACCACTTTACTGCCCCTTCAACAGCTCCATCTACAGCTGGGCCCAGGACTCTGTCCTCAGGAACCAAACACCAGTGGAGTAAAGCCGTTCGGAAGCCTCACCCATAGTTCAACACAGAAAAGAAAATCTAACCAAGTAAAGCTGACGGCTAAAATTAACAGTACAACATCCTACCCAAACTGGCTCTCCTCTAGGCCCTGAGGCTGGCACAGAGGGCAGGATGCAGTAATGAGTCAACTGAGACAAAAGGATCCTCACGAGAACCAACTTCTCACTGGTCTAAATGTCTGTGCACCTCCCACTTGGAATATCAGGTGTTATCTGAGCTTCCACCAGCCCATGAGCCTCAGAGAGGTGGGTTTGAGCCTCAAGATGGGTGAGAATTTCCTGAGCCTGGATAGCCAGGCATAGCACCCCCAGGCCACCCACTGACCAACCTGAGGTGCCACTTGGCCCTGTGACTGCTCGAGGCAGTGGAGATGATGAGATGCCCACTCACCCCATGTAGTCAGAAAGGGTTATAGACAGAAATACACAAGACGACACTCCCACAGGATGTCTGGGCCCAGTCTCAGCCCGTGGGCGCAGACAGAGCCAGGGGAGGGTGAAGACACGCAGTACAGGAGCAACCTCAGGAGGATGATGGGAGCAGCTTCTCCAGGGCCTTCTTCTGCTTCTCAGTGGCTGCAGCCACAGCCTCAGCCAGCTTCTCCTCGGGCATCATGTTGAGCACCTTGAGAGCGAAGAGGAGCTGGTACTTGGCTGTGCTGATGAAAGCATTGCTCAGAAAGTTGGGAAAGCCACCGACTCGGTCCTTCTGGGTGTATAGCGGGACCCGCACAAGCCCCAGCACCTGCGCCAAAAGGAGACCAGGGTTGGGGCCAAGCCCCCACACCAATAGCACAGCCCTGGTAGGAGGGACCTGTGAGCTGCTAGGCCAGGGGAAGGGAAGCCAGGTTGCCAAGGAGAGTGGAAGACCGCTCGCAGCAGGGTCTGGTGAGGCAGAAGCCAGCCAGCAGCCCTTTGGAGCAGTGCAGCCCTCTCCTCCTCAAGCAGGTTTCAGTGCCACCTCATGCACTTCCCACCCTCTGCACCCTCATGTTCCAGCCTCCCATCCGCTGGCAGGAAGCCCCCAGTCGGCACCCATGCTCCCCCTTGCAGCAGGTGAAGCCCAACACACCAAGTGTCACTCCCAGCCCTTCCAGATCATAACACCCACAAATCACAAGAACCTTCAAACCCTGCACCATAAGATCCCAACCTTCGTTCCCAGTCCTACAAACCCCACTTTCTGCTCCACTTCCCACCTCCTCGAGCAGGTCCCGCCCCATCCCATC